AACTCAGCATTATCTGATTCTATAACCGTATTATTATGAATGTCGGGATTTTCTGATTTATGAACCAGAAATCGATATGCTTTACTATTGGTCGCATATCCTATGAAAACACAATCAACGGTTTTCGGTCCTATTTTTACTCTTTTGGGTTTAGGAATTTTCACTTTTGCCAAATATCCCCACACTTTAAAATAATTCAAGTTGGGTTTCCTTCTTTTCCATTTTTCATATGGAATGAATTTTGTTTTGCTATGGGGGACTCGATTTAGTACCCGGTTAGCCGTAAGAACGGCTTCCCCCCATAAGTTCTGTGGCAAACCAGAACTTATCAATAATGCGTTCATCATCTCCTTTAATGAGCGATTCTTTCTTTTCGCAATCCCATTGGATTGGGGCATGTAAGGGGCAGTTGTTTGATGAATTATTTCATATTCTAGACATATTTCTTCAAAAAGAGATTCATGTTCGCACCCCTATCACTTCTTATCATTTTAATTTTTTTGTTAAGTTACGTTTTAACTTCTTTTTTGTATTGCCTGAACGCATCTGTTGCTTCATCTTTACTATTAAGTAAGTAAATATAGCAATATCGAGTACTGTCATCAATAAAAGTTATGAAATACTTCTTTCCACCGCGAGATGGTATTGACTTCATGTCGCAAATATCTGTGTTAATTAAGTCTAAAGGATTTGAATTCCTTTCAACTGACTTATAAGGATGTTTAACATACTTAGATTCCACACATATTTGACATTTTGATTTGTCGCATTCAAACATAGGCAATACTTTCAAATTAATCATTTTTTGCAAGGTTTTGTAATTGACATGACCCAAATGTATATGCCATAATTCATTTGACTTAAGTAAGTAAGAAGAAGCTGAAATTTAATTATTATTCTCAATAACCATTACATTCAGCTTGAAAAGGCCCTCAGTGAGGTAACCTTTTCCTACAAACATTTCATTCTTGCTTATTACAACCTTATCGGATACAAAGACACACTTAAAAAACCATTTTTAACAAGAAGTCCAGCAGAGACTAAGTTCTTTCTAATCTCGGGAACATGAAGGACGTTGTTCAAGGTCACCACCTTACCAGAAGTCATTTTCATTAATATCTTTCCAGATCCTTCAATTTTTGCCGTTGCAGAATTTCCCATAGAAAGCGTCTCTTCGGGTCCAACAAGAGCATATATAGCAAATGCTTCTCTAACAGCACAAACATGGCGAGTGGCTCCAGAATCAATCCACCACTCCTTAGGATTTCCTACCAGGTTGCATTCAGAAAGCATAGCACACAAGTCATCGATATCTTCGTGCTTTTCAACCATGTTTGCTTGACCCTTCTTCTTGTCTTTCTTTGGAGCACGACAATCTACAGATCTGTGTCTAGATTTTCCACAGTTGTAGCAATTTCCGTTAAACCGCTTCTTGCTTGAGTTGCTTTTCAGTCCATAAGCCTTCTTCCTCTTTCTATCCTTAACAATATTTGCTCCCATTATTGTTGAGTTTCCACGTCCTTTCTTTTCAGCAGCTTTATTGTCCTCTTCGATTCTCAACCGAACAATGATATCTTCAAGGGACATCTCCTTTCGTTTGTGTTTCAAGTAGTTTTTGAAGTCCTTCCACAAAGGAGGCAACTTTTCAATCATTGCTGCAACTTGGAACGTTTCATTGATGACAAGACCTTCAGTGAAAATTCTGTTAGTAGAAACAATATAATTAATACTTTCAACATTAGTATTAATTTGACTTATACCTTCAGCAAGGAGATCGTGAATAATCACTTGCAATTCTTGGACTTGGGTAATAACAGACTTGTTATCTACCATTTTATAGGCCAAAAGTTTAGCGGCAACGAATTTCTTTAACCCGGCATCTTCCGTTTTGTATTTCCTTTCAAGCGCTATCCATGGTTGTTTTGACGTCTCCATATTACTATAGATGTTATACAGATTGTCCTCTAGTCCACTAAGAATGTAATTCTTGCATAGAAAATCAGAATGCTTCCACGACTCAGTCACGAGAAAGCATTCATTTTCTGGATTTTCGTTGGGCAGAACAGGAACATCTTCCGTAATGAACTTCTGTAGAATTAAAGTCATCAATTAGAAGAACATCTTTTGCTGCCAGCGCTTGAAGTCAATCCCGAAAAATTTTCCGGGTTTTTCTGCCGCTGCTAGTGCCGGTGGTGTTCGGCTTGTCGATGCGTTGGCAGTTACCATAGAAACAGTCTGGTTCCCATTGTCGTTCGTCATTTCTGTAAAAGAATAACACAAACAAACGTTAAAATCATGTAGATTTTAATCTCCACTGGAGTAGAAAACCACACAGGTTTTAGTCTCCAGAAACAGTGAATATAACACAAATACAGAAAAGATTAAATTCCTTAAGCTTGTTGTTTGTCTGTATTTGTAAAACAATTATGGAGAAGATAAAATAACATAAATATAAATGAAACAGAATTTAATCCGAATCCACTGAATTCACAGTGTTTCCTTAAGGAATTTAATGCCCTCCTAGTATCCAAGGTTGTAGATTATTTCCTCCCAGGATAGAACGAATTACACACTGGTGTAGCAATACTTCAAACACCAATATTTCAGCGAACACAAAATCGGTAGCAAATCACACTTACTGATACTTTGTTTGTAGTTAAAACAATGCAGAAGAAAGGAGGAGAAGTCAGAAATTCGTATGGAAAATCTGAGAGAATGGACTGGTATTTATAGCCAATGTTGAGCTCAATCTGAAGAGGTGCAACTCTTCAAATCCGAAGAGGTGCCAACTGTTTCTTCAACTCTTTAGATTTGAAGAGGTACAAACTGTTCTTCTGAAGAGGTGCAAACTGTTTTGTAAATGTCTTTTACAAAAAGTGAAGGGCATATACTATTACGTTTGGATTTAATATTAATATTCCGTTTACAAAAAACTGGATATTTAATAACAATTCTGTTAATATTTACTATTAACAAATAAATTTGGTCCAAAAAATCAATCAATCAATCGATCATTTGACTGAATCCGAATCCGAATCCGAATCCGAATTCGAAGCCGAAGCCGTAGTCGTAGCCAAAGCCGAGCCAAGCGAGCGAGCGACGACGACGGCGCGATGCTTGCCTTCTTATTAACTCTTTAAGAGCTAGAAGAAGTGCAATTGTATATATACCCATCAAAATCTCTTCCTCTTCCAATATGAGAGAATATCCCTTTGTCAAGGAGGGAAACTCAAATATTTTCAATTTCCCTCCATTTCCCATTCACCCTCTTTTAAGCTATATTTAAGCTTAAAAAACCCAACAGTATATACATTTCATATGCTTCTATACGTTAGCTGTTAGTATTGTACAGTTAGTTAGTGATAGCTGTCAGTTAGAGTTGCTAACTGTCAGTTAGAATTAATTACTTTTTGTATATATGTACATATATACAGCAATACAAAAGATGAGAAAATTCATTTTTCTTTTATCTCTGAAATCAATCCTCTTTTCCTTTCTCAATCGAAGCTTCTAGAGCTCTCTAATGGAGTTTCGCCAAGCAACAACTCGTCTGCTTATGGTGTAAATTGACATGGTATCAGAGCACGGAGACCTTCGATCCACTCGTACCAGTCGTCCCTCAGTCCAAAGGACTTATCGATTCCGTTCTGAATTCCTTTCAATTCGTACTGTGTAAGTACCTAATTTTCCCCTCGATCTAGCTCTTCTTCGATTTTCGACTGCGTATTTCTTCATGGCTGTTACCGATCAAAGAGATGGAACTGGTACTACTCCAAATGTCGAAGCTGTTCCTAATTCTGTAATTGATCCTAGTGATCCACTCTACTTACATCCTTCAGACAATCCTGGAGCTATGTTAGTCAGCGTAGCCTTTAGTGGAATTGGATATAGGTCATGGCAACGCTTTGTTTTGCGTGGTTTATCTGTCAAAAATAAGACTGGATTTATCAGTGGAGAGTGCAAACGACCTGACCCTCAGTCACCCAAATTTCAGCAAATGGGAACGTTGTGATGATATGGTGACCTATTGGATTCTTAATTCACTATCAAAGGAGATAGCAGATAGTGTAGAATATGCTAATGATGCAGTTGAACTGTGGAGAGAACTAGAAGATCGATATGAACAGACCAATGGTGCGAGATTGTACCAAATTCAGAAGGAGATCAATGATTTATCCCAGGGTACTTTGGATATCACTACCTTCTATACTCAGCTGAAGAAGCTTTGGGAAGAACTGAGCACCTTGAATGCAAAGACACAATGCAGCTGTCAATGTACTTGTGGTGCCAAGGAGAATATGCACAAAACAAAACAGGACAGGAGATTGATTCAATTCCTTATGGGATTGAATGAAGTTTATACAGCAGTAAGGGGTGGCATTCTCATGATGAATCCACTACCTTCAATGGCACAAGCCTTTTCACTGCTTATTCAAGATGAAAAGCAACGAGAGATGAAACCTACAAATAATTTGTCTGCAGAATCTGTTTCCCTTCATGTCAATACTTCAGGAAATGCCAACAATTTTGGGAACAATAACTTCAGAACCAATTATGCCCCCAATGCTAACTTTCCAAACACTAACAGAACTAGACCATTCTGTGATTACTGCAAACGCCTAGGTCATACTAAGGGCAAATGCTTCAAGCTTCATGGTTATCCTCAGGGCCACAATCATAACTTCAAGTATAACAAAAATAAGAGGGTAATAGCCAATGCACATGTCACTTCTCCAGATGAAACATGTGCTAAAACAGATGAATTTGGACCCAAAGATAAAAGCGAGAATCTAAACTTGTCTAAGGAACAATATGGTCAATTACTCAGTATCTTGCAACACTTTCATGGGAATAGCGGGGGAGAAAGCTCAAAGAGGACAAACCATGGGACTGGTACTGTGAACCTTGTTGCAGGACCCACACCTTTTGCAGGTATGATCATTTGCACATCCTCAATTGATTTTGAGAAACTATCTTGTAAATGTTTCAGAACTTGGATTGACACATGGATTCTAGATTCTGGGGCATCCCATCATATGACTTTCAATAGATCTTCTTTGCTAGACATTACAATACTACCATATCCTTTGTTGGTTACTCTCCCAAATGGTTATAAGGTTAGAGTGACAGATATTGGTAGTGTGTCGCTTGCTCCTCAAATCACCTTACATAGAGTCATGTTTGTCCCATCATTAAAATTTAATCTCATACCTATCTCCTCTTTGACTGCTCAACTCAAGTCTTTAGTGGCTTTCACTGATGCTTGTTATCTTCTGCAGGCCCCTTCAATGAAGAGGCCTCTGGAGATTGGTAAGATCAGGGATGGGTTGTGTGATGACCCAAAATATCATCTTTAAATTTAATAATTAATTTTGTATTCTAAGACCTCGAAAAGCACTATTTATTATTCTTCGACTTGCGTGCGCAATCCGTAAAATTTTCCGGAAAGTTTTCAGGTGAAAAATGGATTAAAATGTGAATTAGAGCTTTAAAACTCAACTGAGTTGACTTTGGCCAATATTTGGATCAAACGGACTCAGATCAGTATTTTGACAGTTCTGGTAGGTCCGTATCGTGATTTGGGACTTAGGCGTATGCCCGAAATCAAATTCCGAGGTCCCTAACCCGAGATATGAAATTTTGATGAAAAATTAAAAGTTTAAGTTCAAATCGTGACCGGATATCAAATTATGTGCAAACGACCCCGGAATAGAATTTTGATGATTTCAACAGCTCCGTATGGTGATTTTGGCCTTAGGAGGGTGATCAGAATTTTATTTGAAAGTCCGTAGTGAAATTAGGCTTGAAATGCCAAAAGTTAAATTTTTGGGAAGTTTGACCGGGGTGTTGACTTTTTGATATCGAGGTCGGAATCTAATTCTGGAAATTGGAATAGGTTTGTTATGTCATTTATGACTTGTGTGCAAAATTTGAAGTCATTCCGAATTGATTTGATGTGTTTCGGCACAAGATATAGAATTTGAAAGTTCAAAGTTCATAGATTTTGATTTGAGGTGCGATTCGTCGTTTTGATATTGTTTGATGTGGTTTAAAGCCTCGACTAAGTTCGTATTGTATTTTGGGACATGTTGGATTAATTGGTTAAGGTCCCGAGGGTCTCGGGTGGATTTCAGAAGGTAAATGGAATGGATTTCGGACAAAGAGGGTTACTAGAAATTTGCAACTGGTGCGTGGAGCCAATTTTGGAAGCTTATATCTCGCAATTCATAAGGAATCGGAAAATATTAAAACATGAAAGTTGTAGTCGTTTGATTCTAGTTTTCAGAAGGTTAAACCATTCATTATTTAGACATTTGTACATAAAGTTATGATCGATTGAAGGAAGGCTGGTACAAGCAAGTTCTGGTGGACTNTAAGATTTGGATGTCGAGTTGTTATCGGAATTTGATAAAATTAGTATGGGTGGACTCGTAATTGAATGGGTTGTCGGATTTTGTAAGTTTCGCCGGATTCCGAGATGTGGGCTCCACGGGCAAATTTTGAGCTAATTTCGGATTTTATTGAAAAATATTATATGTTCTTATGAAATTGATTACTATAATTTTTGTTGACTGTATCGAATTAATTATGACTAGATACGAGTCGATCGGAGTCGAAAAATTTAGGAAAAAGCATAATACTTGGTTAAATTGGAGCAAGTCGAGGTACGTGACTTGTCTAACCTTGTGTGGGAGAAATTCCCCCTAGGATTGATAATTGTAATGTGTGAAAAGTCGTATACACGAGGTGACGAGCGTGTACACGGGGTAAATATGAAAGATTATGTTTTAAATTGTGTAGATCACTGTTGCGCATTAAATAAATTATTTTCTTTTGTTATATTCTTCATTATTGATTTAATGTTTATATTTTAAATTTGCTTAACCTTTTCCTGCTAATTGTTTTATCTGTTTAGTTGGAACTTGGTTTCTTTTATTCTGTGCATTATTTGAAGGTTGATTTTCTTTAAATCATCGTATTTGACATTTTAAAACTTGATATTGAATCAACATATTAAAAATTTTAAAATATTATTTTCCTGAATTATTTACTCCTGAATAGTTTTGTAAGATTTTCATACTCATTGTGATGGAGCAGTGAGCTCTTTATTGTGGAAAAATATTA